AAATGTTGTGCTCCACATATTAAATTACAAAGCTTCATGATAATGGATCTATTCGTATCTTGGACTGCTTGCCATCAAGCAGTGGGTTCATTTTTTTAACAGCAATAAGAATCTAACCAGTCCTGTGAGGTGTCGTGCTAACTTCTTAAACGACTTGGCTTTTTTATAGATGGCATACCAAACGGTCAACCAATCATACAATGATTAAGAAGTCAGTCGTACAGGATCTATTACTGTCTTGGACTGCTTGACACCAAGTGGTGGTCTCATTTTCTTAACGGCGATCAGAATCTAACCAGTCCTGCTAGGCGTCATGCTGACTTCTTAAACGACGTGGCTTTTTTGTGGATGACAATCCATGAAATTGTCCTATTTCTACACATTGATTAAAAAGTCGTGCTTCTAACTTGGTACAGAATCTATTTCTGTGTCGGACTGCTTGACATCAAGTAATGGTCTCATGTTTTTAACAGCGATCAGAATCTAACCAGTTCTGTGAGGTGTCGTGCTGACTTCTTAAACGATTTGACTTTTTTATAGATGACATCCCAAACGGTTGTCCTATCTCTACACAATAATTAAGAAGTCGTGCTTCTTAGCTTGGTGCAAAATCTATTCCTGCCTCGGACTGTTTGATATCAAGTAGTAGTGTCATTTCTTTAACAGCAATCAGAACCAAATCAGTCCTGTGAACTTTAATGCTGACTTCTTATACGACGTGGCTTTTCCCATAAATGATCACCGAAAGAGTTGTCCTATCTCTTTGTAGTTGATCCAGGCTCTATTCTTGTCGGACTGCTTGATATCAAGCAGTAGTCTCGTTTTTTTAGAAGCAATCAGTATCTATAAAGTAATGTGAGTTTTAGAACTTCTTCTTAAACGACGTGGCTTTTTATTGATGACCACTCAAAAAGTTGGCCCGTCTCCTATGTAATTGGTTCAGGTTCTATACATATCTCAGATAGCTTGATATCAAGCATTTTTATAGATGGCCACCCAAAGACTTCTCCCTCCTCTATTGCTGTCTTGGAAAGCTTGATATCAAACAGAAATCTAATTTTTTTAGAAACAATCAATATCCATCCAGTCTTGTGAGCGTTAGTGCTGACTTCTCAAACAACGTGGATATTTTATAGATGATGGCCCAAGCAGTTGTCCTATCTTTATGTATCTGGGTCAAGGTTCTATTCCTGTCTCGGACTACTTGATATCAAGCAGTAACTTCATTTTATTAGAAACAATCAGTATCTGTCCAGTCCTGTGAGCTTTAGTGCTGACTTCTTAAATGACGTGAGTTGCCCTATCACTATGTAATTGGTTAAGGTTTTATTCCAACCTCGGACAGCCTGATATCAAGCAATAGTCCCATATTTTTAACGGCAATCAGAACCTATCAAGTCTTGTAATTTGTTGTGCTGACTTCTTAAACGACGTGGCTTTTCCAACCCAAAAAGTTGTCCTATCTCTATATTTTTGGTCAAAGGTTCTATTTCTGTCTAGGACAACTTGATATCAAGCAATAATTTCATTTTTTAACAGCAATCAGCACCTAACTAGCACTGTAAGCTTTTGTACTGACGTCTTAAATGTCGTTTTTAAAGATGGCAGTTTTAGAGATTTTATTATTACAATTTCTACAAAACTAATAGATTTTTTTATTAATGCCGAGAAAGGGTTATTTTTACTTGGAAGCATATTGCAATCCAGTTTTTCAAACAATAACCTCTGATTCAATTCCCATAGCTCTAACCACAAATCCGTGGGGGATAAATTAATAAATAAATCAATCAATAGATAATATTTTATCTTTTCATTATAACCATTTCCTTTTTTGAATATAAAAGAAAGAATTGAATTATCTGAATAGTTTCCGTTTGCTTTGGATGATTCGGAATTCGTTAACAAATATTTATTCATGATATGTCCGAAACAATACGAGATAAAAACGCCCTACATTTACTAGAAAATCTGCAAAATTAATTATTATATTCAAATTACTATATTTTAAGATATTTTATCATAATTTTATCAACGAGTCCTAATTTTGTAGATAAACAAATTTTTTAAATTATAAATGGTTATAAAAAAAACATTATTCCGAGCAATATATTTTCCAGAAGCTTTCGAGACATATTTATATTTTCTCTGACGCTTCTGAACTAATTACGAAGAAACGACCCGACCGATCTTTATCAGAAACTAATCAGCACGATTCCCAACTGATATCTTTCGATGCTGAACCGATTTTGAAAATTTAAAAACCGTTTTCAATTCTTTTGTTTATAAACATTCTAAAGTCCATTCCAGATAAAACTCGTTTATTGCATTTAATTGCTCGATCAATTAAAAATCATAATCGAACACTTGAATTGAGATTCTTGTCACAGAGACAAAAATTGAAAACATCTAATTGACAATTACATAAATTGTTTTATCTAAAAATTATTTTTATTATGGTCCTTTGATAAGATACAAGTGGAATTATTTATTCACATAATCTATCTTAATAATAGATTTTCAATTATCGCAAAATTTATCACCACTAAGCCCATTTGATGGTCAGAATTTTATTTATTAATTAACTTCCCGAAGGTGAAGATTATCTTTTCGACAGAAAATCCGGTTTGGTTATCTTATGCTTTGTGGATGTTTGAAGTCAATCTGAATCGTTTAACATCAAAATTAGTAAAAGTTTGTGTACATTGTATGTAATCTGTGATCTTACATTTTATTTTATTTCCTGATAGTCTATGAATAAATGTGCATCTTTTGTTTTAAACAATCACGTTTTCTCCTAAATAATACGTGACATACATTTCTCCGTTGATCCGGACATGACTAATTTGATGACCTTTACTTTTAATTTGTTTGATAAATAATATCTTTTTTGTTTTGAAAATGCTATCACTTTGTTAGCAGATAATTAATATAAGGTGACACATAGAACCGATCGAGATTTTTATCCCAACTTTCATTGTCTAGACTTGCAAAATAATACAGTTTATCTTTTTGCACATTGTCAAAGTTACTAAATATTTGGGAATCTATTAATATGCAACTAATTAGTATAATTTCTCAATCTTCCAATTCTGCACAACTATCTAGCTTATAACAAATAATTACAATTATGAAGCATTTAGATCTTTGAAAATTCAAAAACTTTTCGAAAGATATGATTTTGGAAACGTGCTGATTGGTAAAGATCATTCGGGCCGATTCTTCGTATTTAATTGTTCAATTTTTCTTCAATGATCTTAATGAGATTTTGCAAAGTGATCTTGTTTATGGTCTAAAATTTAGACTCTAAATCATTGGATTTTAAACTCTTTTATGTCGTAGATTATTAACTTTCCGTAGGGTAAATTATAGTAATCGCAAAAAAATGAAAATTTTTATATAACTTTAAGGTTCAAAGGTTTTTGAACATTTTGGCATACCTAAGAAAAAATTGATATATGTGTGTATGTGTGCGGATACAAATTTTCGTCGGCAATTTTGGGAACACGGATCAACCGATTTGGATAATTCAGAAAACATTCGATTCTTATTGATAAGGAGACGTGCTGATTAGTTTTTAGCTAAGCCAGGTCTAGCCGTTCCGAAGATACGGGGCAAAAAGTGCCAAAAATGGTAACTCAGTTTTTAAGAGAACGGAGCGCCCGATTTTAATAATTGAAAAAAAATTTTACTTGTATTGATGAAGAACTGATTAAATTTTTGGGAAGGCAGGTCTAGTGGTTATAGACTCTCAATAAAAATAAGTTAAAAAAATGACATTTGGGGGTCAAAAATGTTCATTGAACATATGTACATCAAATTCTCAGATATTTTATAGATTTTAATAATGTGTACACCATTAGTGAAAATTTTTTTTGGGTCTCGTACCCAGATTTTTAATTTTAAAATCACGGTTCAAACAAATGTCCTCGATATTTTTGACAGTGTATGCAAAAGGCACGTCTAACCGTTTCGGAGGTATGAAGCGCAAAGGATGTAAAAATGGTCATGCAGTTTTTAAGAGAACGAATCTTCTGATTAAATTAATTCAAAAAACATTTTGCTTAAGCAAATAATGGATTAACAGAAACTTTAGTAATTTTGAAAATTTTCAAAAAAAATTTAAAATTCAAAAATATTCAAATTTTCGAAATTTTTCACCATTTTCAAAAAAAAACAAACTGAATTTTGAATAATTTCAAAAATATCAAAACTTAAAAAAAAATCAAAAATATCGAGATTCTCAAAAAATTTTGGAAAAACTGTATCCATACATGCATACACACACACATCCATTTTTTTAGGTATGCCAAAATGTTCAGAAACATCTCAAACGTTAAGGCATGCAAAAATTTACATTTTCGATTTTTGGGCTCATTACAATAACTTACCCCACGGGAAGGTAATAAGAAAACTGGATGTTTTGGCGCAATTGGTAGAAGTAAGAAGAATGGGCAAATATACAGTTTTTTCCCAGGATGTTTTGACCAAATTGGCAGAAGTAAGGAAAATGGGCGACGTATGTAGTTGTTTCCCAGGATGTTTTGGCGAAATTGGTAAAATTGAAGAGAATGGGCAAAGTATGTAGTTGTTTCCCAGAATGTTTTGGCGAAATTGGTAGAAGTGAGAAGAAGAGGCAATATATGTAGTTTTTTTTTCAGGATGTTTCGGCAAAATTGAAAGAAATGAGAAGAATTGGCAAAGTATGTAGTTGTTTCCCAAGATGTTTTGGCAAAATTCGTAGAAGTGAGGAAAATGGGCGACGCATGTAGTTTTTTCCCAGGTCCCCGGACGGTGACTCAGTCGCCGTACAATTTCAATCAAATTCCATGGAAACGTACACGATACAGAATCGTGTAAACCTATCCGTCTATCCGTAGTGTTATTGTGCGAGATTGATTCTTCCGCGGGTTGATAAGTTCGAAGACAGCGTCGCGCTATCAGTAAGTTTTCTCGAATGGAGCATCGTACTGCCAATGCAGTACACATCGAACCGTTTTCGAGGACAGTGCGATATCGATAATCGGATAAAACGAAACATCTATTAGAACCATCGACCATCGAAATCTAAATTAATTTATTACTGTTACTATTATTATATCGGCCGGTACTTCGATGATGTTGGGATTGAGAAACCTCCTGGGCCAGGGAAGGGCCCTGCACAGAGGCACCAGGTACGGTTTGACGAGAATCGCGAGTGCTAAACGTTACGCTTCCTCCAGCACTGGTTTGTTCCATCCACACGTGCAATTGGTAAGTCGAAAAAAATAATATTTATAATAGATTCATCAAAGATTTTTAGAAAAATTTCTGTGGTTTTTGTTTGATCGCTAGTGTAAATATTAAGCACGGTTTGAATATAAATGTCATTTAATTTTCAAGAAATTCCAAACAATAATAGAGAATTTGATTGGGTAGATTTTTCTTTAATGATTGAATTTTATTGGACTAGGGTATTTCGTGACAAATAAATATTTTTGGCAATTGCGACAATGCAAAATTAATACCACGCATAGTGATCAAAAAGATCCTGAAAGATTTAATTTCAATTTTACATTCTCATTCATAGTAATATAATTAAAAATAAGTTTTATTGGAATTTTAAAGCAAAATTTGCCATAATATTTTAATTTTTATATATATCTTAATATTCTTAACAACTGTCAAACATAGTTTAAAAAATAATTTAGTGTAATTTAACATCCATACGTTAGGATATGTAGATTTTTAAGTGGATTTTCTTTAATTATTGGAGTAAATTATAATTATTGAATACAGCTCGTTTATGGATCAACAAAAAATTAAATAATCAATAAATTAACTCAATCAATAAAAGTAATCAATAAATTATGGATCACTAAAAAATTAAATAATCAATATAAACAATAAATTGTTCTTGCAATAAATCCCACGATTTTATTGATTTGTGTTATGAATAAACACAATTCTATTATTACACAAAATAAATTCATTTTTAATCATTTGATTCTGTAGATTATTTTATTTTTAACTTATAGTTTAATGAAAGGCGCTTCTAAATCTAATTAATTTAAATTTTGAATTAAAATTTACTCTATTTTTTCAGTTAATTTCAAAACAATTAAATGAATTTTAATACAAAAATATTAATTAAATAGCACTTTATATAAAAAATAAATGTGTTGAACAGTAAAAATTAATTAAAGTTTAAAAATAAATTAAAATGTATAAAAAAAAATATGTGAAAGTGGGTTGAAATATTTAAAATTTCTCCAGGATTCTAGTCTTAAAGTCTCCTTGCAATCCCAAAGTTTCTAGTTCAAATACAAAATATTGCATAATTTTATGTGCATATGACTAATGTCCATTTTTGACCGTCAAATGGCATTTTTTTTACTTTTTTTAATAGATCTCTAAAACCACTAGACCTTTCCAATAATTAAATCTGTTCTTCAGCTTGTCAATACAAGAAAAATCCTTTTTGAATGATTAAAATCGGACGCTTCGTTCTCTTAAAAATTGAGTTATTTGACACTTTTTGCCCCGTATCTTCGAAACGCCTAGACCTGCTTTTGCCAAAAACTAATTAGCACGTCTCGTTATCAATAGGAATCTAATGTTTTTTGAATTATTCAAATCGGTTGAACCGTGTTCGCAAAATCGTCGACAAATTTTGTATCCGAACACACACACATTTAGCCCATTTTTTTTTTCTAAGGAATGCCAAAATGTTCAGAAACCACTAAAACGAAAAGATATATAAAAATTTTACCTTTGGTACGGGAAGTTAATAAATTAAAGCAAAAAATATATCAAAAATAAAATTAAACAACCACTGGGTTACATTGGAATATAAAATATGTCAAAGAAATAATAAAAACATATATATTAAAAACCAACTCTATATATTAAAATTAAAAAAGCATTGATTGATATAAAACTATTTCATTTAATTAGCAACCAATTAAATAAAAAATGGAATTAAATAATGGAATATTTTCACACCTTGATATTTGTTACAATTAATCAAAACAAACCAAGAATAATAAATCACAAAAATATTTATTTTTTTTAATTAAAATTTTAATTATCAATAAACACCGAGACATCCAAATTTGTTTGATAAAATAATGATGCTTGAACATTTTGTATCATCTTGAATAAATTAGTTAAGATCATTAAATATTTCTCCCATTTCCGACGTAAGTTCGCAATCTTCACCTTTGGTTCAAAAAATATCTGTAATTTTTTTTAACGAACGAATATCGAAATGTTTGACGTCACGGTTTGTTTATTTCGTTTCGTTTGTATCGTTTGTGTTTTAACTTTTAACACGTTGGATTAGAGAAAATAATTGCCGCCGTCAATATCATTATCAATGTCAAAATGACATACGATACTAAAATATAACATATCATATTTACTATCTGATAAATCAGTTTGAAAACAACACGATCATTTGTAATGGATAAATACAAGTACTAGCCGAGGCTGGATACCAGATAGAAGATAGAGCATTTGCCAGAAGCCAAACAAGGAAAGATTTTTCCGTTTCATTGAAACCGTAGACAAACAAAACAAAGATATATGTACATATTGAAAACATCAAACAACTTAAATCACAGTACCCCTATATATCAATACCTTATAATAATAATATCTATAATTTTAAAAATTGGTGTTAGCTGACAAAACTGTGGAATTGGCAATTTTATTCAAAATTGGCAATTCCACAGTGCATAACGATTTACCTGACTCAGAGACTCACTCTGGTGTAATATGTCTACCATACATTAAAGAATTGTATGTTTCTTAAAAAAAAAACTTTTTTATAAATCTGGACACCAACTTGTAAACAATTTTAGTACAACGACTAGCACTATTTACCAAAACAAAAACCCCTTTTAATATCAAACAACTTCTCGTCTATCAAATAAATTGTCTGGACTGTAATTTAATATACATAGGAGAAACAAGCCAGAACTTAATTAGACGTTTAGAACAACACAAAAATAATTAAAAAAATCCCAGACAATTTAAAACTATGCTTGTGGACCACATTATTACTTTAAAACACAATATAGACTTTTAAAATTAATTTTTGAAAGAAATTCATGTTTTTATTGATGTTATGCCCGATTACTAGACTTTGTTAATATATGTATGTATATATATAAGGGTGGTCTCCAATATGGGCGTTTTCGAATTTCCTTGCTCCCAGGGGCTCAAATCCTTCCAAATTGATAAAAAAACAATTCTCTGAAAGTTTCAGCCCTTAATGTTAAGATAGTCCGCACTCCAAGTTTCTATGGAAATAACATGAGAAAAATATCATTTGTTTTATAACTTAGCAACAAGTGAATCAAAATTTTGAGAATAACATAGTATTTGCTTAATAAAATAAAATAAAAATAAAAAAACACAACAAAAATTCTATATATTTTATAAAATAAGTATTTACTTAGGAGGAAGAACCAAGAAACTTTGTTTTGAGTGCGGACTATCTTAAAGTTAATATTTGGAGTTAAAACTTTCAGAAAATTTGTTTTATCAATTTGGAGGCATTTGAGCACCTGAGAGCAAGAAAATTCGAAAACATCCATATTAAGGACCACCCTATATATATTATATATATATATTATATATATATATATATATATATGTGTGTGTATGTGTGTATGTATGTACGTGTGTGTGTATGTGTGTTTGTATGTCGTTTACATAACAATTTCGCATACACAAGACCTCACAATACGACATTAAAAAAATAATATCAAAAATCTATTACTTCCATAATCCTGACCTCGTTGTTAATACTTTGAACCGTCTCGCACGTCACGTCTGATAACGTCTAATATGTAGTCATTACAAGACACTACTTCTCTAGGATCACATTTTTTTCTTTCTTGCTTCTTCTGAAATATATAAACAAATCTATAATAAACATCAAATAATCATAATTATTAACTTTAAAATAAATTAATAAGTTAATTGTATATAATATTAAGTCCACTCTGGGATAAATTTTGCATAGATCTTCTACATTTTTCATCAACGTTTTGGCAAAACTTCTGAACCGGTCAGTTGGCAATTGTACTGATTGGCTCTTGGTAAAGATGAACCAGGCCCTTTCTTCGTAATTAGATGTTTAAAGAAAATTTGCACATATCGGAAAGTTCACATGCCTTAAGGTAAGGTGATCATATTTTTTCAAGTCAAAATCGGGATGGCAATTATTAGCCAATCGTTTCCACAAAGTGGAAATCCGGGGCTGTCCCGGCCAAATTGGGACGTATGATCACCTTACTTAAGGCAAAATTTGAGATTTACACCTAGTTATCATTAATATTCGATTTAGATGCTGCAATATTTTTTATGTGAGTACATTGACCAGAAAAGAGTGCATGTGTACCACAGATAAGAAATCTGTGTCTTATTAGGTCAGTTAGTCTAGTCATTCTTACCTAGACAATTAATTATGTCAATTGTCTAAACTAAAATCTATCTCCAACTAGTGGTGTATGGCATGATACCTTAAGGCAAATTGCTGGAACTTCCCGTACCGTAACAAAATATATCAAGGAATATTTAATGTTTTCAAATAAATTATTATAAATACTGTAACATTGTCTAATATTTATAAGAATTATATAAATTAAATTGCAAAGTTAAAATTATTCATTTAAAGTATATAGGTGAGCTTTAGACCTTTAGCAAAAATTAAAGGCATTTTACAACGCTATAAAATAAATATATATTTTTACAGATTCTATAAAAACTTTAAATTATTAATTATTCAGTTAAACTTTTATTATTATATTAGTAAAATAAATAATTAAATCACTATTATTAATTATTCCACACGCGCAAACGTTATCAAAATATCCTTGTCACTATTGGTGTTATGAAAATATGTGAACAAAAACAAAAAACACTGAATGATCTTGTAATTTATCAACTTCTGATGACATTGAAACTATTTTATACTATTATAAGAAATTAATTATTACTCCGGCACAATTAAAATTGTTTTATCGGTGATTCAAATCAAAAAATAATCTACTAAGGTCTTAATAAAACGAAAACCTTAACCTCTTAAAAGCGATTCGTTGCAAAATAAAATATGGTGAAAGAAATAAAATAAAATGGTAATAAATATTAGACAAATAAAATTAAAGAGTGAAACTTTGAATCGAAACAAATAATATTACAAAAGATGGTACTAACCTGATCTATTTTGAATTAATTTTGAATATACTGAACATTTTTATTTTATTTTAGAAATTTGTTTGGAAACTGCAATTTTAATAACTGCTGATTTGCAAAACTATTATCTATACTAAAATTATAGACTTAAATACTAAAATAAATTAATAATATTTTTTAATCAAAGTATGTACATTATTTTTTAACTTTATATAAACCGCAAAAACGTAAAAAAAAAATTAAATATAATAATAATATATTTATATTTTTTAATCTGAGCTCGTCACGGTATAATGGTCATAAATGTGGGATAGCACAAACTAGTCAACCAATGTCGGCCAGCTCGATATCAAGCAGTACGATATCAAATTTACACTTGAAATTATAGATGTGAAATACAATCTCAAGTGAAAATGGCCTTTCGTGGGCATTGCTACAACGTAGATACATCAACACTTTTAGATATTCATATCTAATATAAATAGTCTACACATAAGAAGGTGGAAGACCGTTGGGTTGCCCTCAATACTAGGTAGCGGTAGAACACATAATTCTAATCGCTGTTATAAAATATTATATATTGAATATATTTATAAAAAATTGTTATCGATTTTTTATTTGGAATTTATTTATTTTATTTGTTGTTATTTGTAGCTTTTCATGCAATTCAAATTATGTGTAAATTCTTGGAATAATAACGTTAATAGATATTTAATTTCGCCAATTAATTTCAAAAATTATAATAAAGTTCATGAAAATTTTAAAAAGTGTGAAAAGAGTGTAACTTACAGGGTGACTCCAAAACGATAAATTAATTTAAAAAACTGTAAATATATTTTTTTTAATAAAAGTTATACTTAGCAAATAATACTTTATAAGGATATAATAACAATCAGTTTTTATTAATTGAAGCAAAATATTTTATTCAGAATTACTGACAACGAGTACGATTTTTTTATATTACATATTTTGAACCATAATTCTTCTTAAGCAGATCTTTTTTGGTTTTAAGTATTGTATGAAATTCTGTGAAGTTTTCATCATAATTTTCATTAGTAAATAATATCAGTTTAGCTTAATTTAAATATCTTTCATTTCATTGGTATTTTTTTAAAAAATGGTACTTATAAAAATTTATTCAAAATAAAAACCTTTTCGAAAATCGGAGCAATCCAGGACAAAAAACCTGATCCCGATACGAATATTGCTTCTAGACAAATCTGGGACCGTCCTGGCCCATACTTATAAGCATCTCGTATCTTGAACACAGAACCTAAAATTAAGTATAAAATGTAAATTTTGCTAAAATTTATGTAAAATAAAAGTTTGACTCACTTTTATCCTAGGTTGCCTTTTCCAACAATAAGGTCTGCGCATTGTTAGAATCGAAAAATTTAAATCTTTCAGTTCAGCTATATTTCTAACAACGAGGCATATCCTCTTCACATCCATTTTGTGTAAAAAATGCTGAAACAACACAAAAAAAATAATTTAAATTTTTTGCCGTTTATGTAACTTACCCATTGAAAAGATTATGAGCATCATTAAGTTTTATAAATTTATTATTATATTTTTCTTCGTCAGGTTAACCAAGATGTAAACAGGCGCACTTTGCAGACAGCAGACAGGAGACAAGCAACATTTTCAGACAGAAGTCAACTTAAATATGCCAAACGTTTGGTAATAAAATTAGGAAGCGCCGTCATCACCAGAGAAGATGAACATGGTTTAGCTTTAGGACGTTTGGCATCAATTGTTGAACAAGTAAGTCAATTATAATTGACACATATTAGCTGCATGTTTTATTTGTAGTACAACAAAAATAAACAATATTATTTATAGTTGTACTAAAATTAAATCTTTAATGGAATTGTTTAATATCCATTAGAACGTTTATAATTATAGGTAGCAGAATGTCAAAACGGAGGACGAGAATGCATCATGGTCACCAGTGGTGCTGTAGCTTTTGGAAAACAAAAATTGACCCAGGAGTTGTTGATGTCCTTGTCAATGAGAGAAACTCTTTCGCCAAAGGACCACACAAGAGAGGTTAGTATAAAATGCAGACAAAATGAAAAAAAATGAATCATTGAATTGAATTGAATCATGTAGATAGTGTTAATACCAAATATTAACTTATATTTATGTTTTTTTTCAGGATGCTGGAACTTTATTGGAGCCACGTGCAGCAGCAGCAGTCGGTCAGTCTGGTCTTATGTCACTTTACGATGCTATGTTTGCACAATATGGAGTCAAAATAGCTCAAGTAAGAAAAAAACTATACGAGTAAAAACTTTGTTTTCTAAAATTAACCAATACATTTTCTCTATCCAGGTCCTCGTAACGAAACCTGATTTTTACAATGAGCACACCAGAAAGAATTTATTCTGTACATTGACAGAATTGATTAGTTTAAATATTGTGCCAATTATTAATACCAATGATGCTGTGTCACCACCAATGTTTATAGTCGATGAAGAGGTCTCGGGGGTAGGTTCAAAGAAGGTCGGTAATTTTTTTGTGATTAGCATGCTGACTGAATTCTACTAACAATTAAACGTTAAGTGCATGAACAGATAACATATTGGTAAAGTATAAACTGAAATAACATATTTAATTTGAACCTTCTCTTTTCGCGTAAATCTTATTATCGTTCTAAGTCACATAGTAGATGAGGATGTGACTTTAACTTAACTTTAATTGAATGGAAGTTTCTTGAACAAAAATTTAAAACAATTCTCATATCTATTGATTCGGGTTTCCAGAACTTCAATAGATTTGCATGCATTACAAAAACTATTAATACTTATATATATTTCAAAATTATTATTACACTCATTGTCAGAGGAATACAAATTTAAAAAAAATAGTGAACTAGTAATAACTATTTTGTTTGATGATTTTTATTTGTTACCAGGGTATTAGCATAAAGGACAATGACAGTTTAGCAGCTATGTTAGCCGCAGAAATTCAAGCCGATCTTCTAATTTTAATGTCAGATGTCGATGGGATATATAACAAACCACCTTGGGAAGACGGCGCACGATTAATTTCCACATATACCTCAGACGATAGAAATACCGTCGAATTCGGAAAAAAATCCAAGGTTATTTTATTACCAAAATATTGTGTCAATCATCATCAAACATACTCGTTTAATTTATTACTAATGTAATCGTGTTAAAGTATTTGTTTCACTTATCAATGTAATTTAAAAGTTTTCTGTTAGCGAAGATAACACACAAACACTGATATAGTGTTCGAAGTTCAAGTCTTGACATAAACATGCATTAGATTAAAATAAAATATTAAAAGGAGGTTAAATACAGGTAGGAACTGGTGGAATGGACTCGAAAGTAAATGCAGCAACATGGGCCCTAGACCGAGGAGTAAGCGTCGTCATTTGCAATGGAATGCAGGAAAAGGCAATCAAAACTATCATCGGAGGAAGAAAAGTCGGAACGTTTTTCACTGAATCCGTCTCTGGAGGTTCAGTGCCGGTTGAAGTTATGGCCGAAAATGGTATATTATTATAGTCTTCTAATTTTAATATTATATTGAAATAAATAATACGTTATTGTACATAGCACGCATCGGCAGTAGAGTTTTACAAAGTTTGACCCCAGAAGAAAGAGCAGCATCTGTTAACACGTTAGCGGAATTGCTGATAACACGCCAAGCTGAAATTTTGGATGCAAATACGAAAGATTTAGCAGAAGCAACTCAATCTGGTTTGGCCAAACCTCTTCTATCCAGACTTTCTCTAACACCTGCAAAATTAAAAAGTCTTTCAATTGGTTTAAAGCAAATAGCCGAATCAAGTCATCAGAATGTTGGTAGAGTATTGAGAAGGACGAAACTAGCGGATAATCTAGATTTAACACAAATTACGGTTCCAATAGGAGTAAGTATCATAAACACATATTGAATAATTTTTAATGAGTACTATTTCTAATGATTTTGAAATAATTTTTAAGGTACTTCTGGTTATTTTCGAATCTCGACCTGACTCTCTTCCACAAGTAGCAGCCTTAGCAATGGCGTCGGCAAACGGATTACTCTTAAAAGGCGGAAAAGAAGCTGCTCACAGCAACAAAGCTCTGATGAATGTTGTGAAAGAAGCTTTAGCAACAGTAGGAGCAACAAACGCAATTTCTCTAGTATCTACCCGCGAAGAAATCAGTGATTTATTATCAATGGAACAGCATATCGATCTCATCATCCCTCGTGGATCATCCGAATTGGTCCGCAACATACAATCGCAATCTCAACATATCCCTGTCATGGGACATGCTGAAGGAATTTGTCATGTTTATGTTGATCAACATGCTGATCTCGCGAAGGCATTAAAGATAATTAAAGATTCTAAATGCGATTACCCAGCCGCTTGCAACGCCATGGAAACGCTGCTCATACATGAAAGCCTTATGCAAGGTGACTTCTTCAGCGACGTTTGCAATATGTTGAAAAATGAAGGAGTGAAAATAAATTCAGGACCAAAATTGACACAACTACTCACATTTGGTCCTCCACCTGCCAAAACCATGAAACACGAATACAGTTCATTAGAATGCTGCATAGAAGTTGTCAAGGATGTCAACGAAGCCATAAATCACATCCACACGTTCGGTAGTGGTCACACAGATGTTATAATTACTGAAAACCGTAAGTAGTGAGATTAAAAATATTTATTTAACTTCTTAACAGCAGGATCATTTTGAAACTAGTGGTGCATAGCACCGTGCTTTAAGGCAAATTGCTCGAGCATCCCGTACCAAAAACAAAATTTAAAAAAAAATGGCAGAACTTTGAAAAAATTAGATTTTCGAGAAGTTTTGTCATTTTTGAAAAAAAAAATGATAGTAGTCGTTTAACGTGTAAACATTGGTACGGAACCCATATAAATATACACAAAATTTGTACTTATTATTATAAGTTTTTAAAAGTATCTGATAATGCGATGTACATATGTCTAATGATCATTTTTGACTGTCAAATGGCATTTTTTTTTACTTTTAATACTAGATCTCCGAAACCGCTAGACCTGCTTTCCCTTTTGTTTTCCATCCTGTCAATACAAGTGAAATGATTTTTGAATTATTAAAATCGGACGCTCCGTTCTCCTAAAAACTGAGTTACCGTTTTTATCACTTTTTGTCCCGTATCTTCGAAACGGCTAGATCTGCCTTTGCAAAAAAAAACTAATCAACACGTCCCCTTATCAATAGAAATTGAATGTTTTTTAAATAATTGAAATCGGTTTATCCGTGTTCCCGAAATCGTCGATAAAAATTTGTATCCGAACACACACGCACACCTCGCACAAACACATACATCCACTTTTTCTAGGATATGCCAAAATGTTCAGAAACCTTCGAAACGTATAGATATATAAAATTTTCATTTACGATTTTTTGCGATTAATATAACCTATCGGGAAGTGAAAAAAAATAACGTAACTATAAACTCCTCAAAGCCATAAAGACTAACTCTTAGTTTAAAAGAGTAACATTTATTCCGATATATGTAATCCGAAAAAAAAATCGAATGAATCACTATCTTCCATTTAAAGTCCGAACGAGGCTCGATCGCAGCAAAGAACAAAATTCCGCCCGAGTTCCAATCGGGTAAAATTGTCAAGTGGTTGATAGAATAAACTGTATATATTTATCATCCTTATGACTTGTACAGATTACATGAATTTTTAGTATTTCACTTGTAAATTTCTCGCATCAATTAAACAATATATATTTCACAGGAGAAACAGCGGAAGGTTTCCAGCAGCAAGTCGACAGCGCGTGCGTTTTCCACAACGCCAGTTCGCGGTTTGCAGACGGCTTCCGTTTCGGATTGGGAGCCGAGGTCGGCATATCGACTGCTCGCATCCACGCCCGCGGCCCAGTCGGCGTCGAAGGCCTATTGACCACCAAGTGGGTGCTCCGGGGCGAAGACCACGCCGCCAGCGATTTCGCGGAAGGTGGAACGCGCCGATGGCTCCACGAATCACTTCCCATCAATTGACAGAATGAAATACACAAACCGACAATCACCCATCATCACACTTGCACTTCATACATCGTTCGATACATCAAATCTTTAGGCACTCTTATTTCGAGAAAGATATCCTATTGTAAATAAATAAAAGAAGCGCAGGTTGTACCATATAAAAACTATGACGTTGAATTATCCATTATTCAATCGACTCCATCAATTGGCATTTAACTGTGTAGTACAACCTCGATCATTCTTATGTATATATGTAAATTAGGTTATTAACAATTAATTAAACGTATTTAATTACATTAAAACCGAGTTTGATTTCGTTGTGACAGCTGAAGCCGGATTTGCGACATAATTTCTATAGAACGCAAAAAAAAAATAAAAAACAACATATATTATTACATAACACAATCTTATATATTATCTTATAAATATGAATTACATAATTAAGATGGAATTTAACCCAGAGAATATATTTGATTTCATGTGTACACTATTATTCTAAAAACATCCACTAATGAAAATGATCGCTTAATTATTTACAGATACTTATGCATTTTGTTGGTCTAATAAAAATAACATCTAGAAAATAATTCAAATTTAATCATCTCTAATGGACATATGTGACAAATATCTGAATTAATTAAGGATCATTCAAAAAAAAAATCCTCTTTAGTGTTTAGTCTTAGTATGTCACTATATGAAAAGTTATGAAAAAAAATCAAAATTTTCAGATTAGAATTTCTGAAGCAGCTGAGATCACTTTCTTTGAACTCGAGTTTGCTTGTGATAGAGAATAGTTTAATATATTTTCCGAAATTTCTTATAATAAATAAATTTTAAAAGATAGAAATTTGGTAATAAAATTTGTAATATACAAGGAAATATACTTTTGTAAAATACCACATTCTTACATTAAATATTAATTTACCCTTAACAATATTTTTACAATCGCTAAAATTACAGAAACAAAAGTCATCATGATGAATCTTTTTACAAAGATAAAATTTATGCATATATACATGTATTAATTCCCTCAATCGTAGTGACCAAAATATACAAAAAAAAAAATAAAAGGAAGGGCTATAAAATTTCAAATATCACGTATTTTATATTATGAAACATTAGAAAAATGAGATTATGTAGCATATAGAAAAATCTTCATCAATAACAACGCGAGCGCATTACAAAAAAATAAATTATTGGTCAAAAAGGTCATTTGTATAATTTTCTCTGGTAAATTTAATATAAAATATTAGATTTATACATTGACAAAATATTCTCATAAAAACAGAATCTAGATTACTAGAAGGATTGTAGCATCTCATAAATATTAACTTATATACAATGTACTACGACAAACTCCTCAATCGAGAGAGCGCCATATATAAATTTGGTATCCTAATTAAAATTATAAATACTGCATCATTTAATTATTTGTGATGTTCAGTGTCGTCCAATATAGACAGCCTTTTAACGTTTTCAGTTATAACCACAATAAGTTATTAATCTTTAAGATAAAAAATCCTAATAACAAATATTACCTATATAAAATCCAATAAATAATGATATCTTTGATTGAACTATTATACACAGGGTCTTAATTGATTTATCAGGTTTACAAATTTATTAAACAAAAATCAACAAACATTGCTCAAAACACATCGCATACGACAGGTTCTGCCTAAAATCAAATATTACACAGCTTAATAAATAATTCAACAAAACTATTATCGCATACAGGCTCATTTATACATTGAAACCACATTTCATATATATCTAAAAATATTGGGCTGGATCGATATCATTTTGCTTAGCACATAAATGTTAATTAAACCAATGAAACTGACATACACATGATATACTAAACTGGCATTGCAATAATATCAGATCAATTGTATCCTCTGCCGCAGCATAGATTAAATAGAAGAAATATAAAAACAGAGGTAGCTTAAAATAGAAGAAAGTCTATACATTATATCATCTACCACCCAAAACTATGTCTGCTAAACCATGAGATTACAAGATTAATGATTCTATTTTTACGCTTTCAGAAGAGAATGGTTATTGCATGAAATAGTCAGGATGATCAGTATCTTTCTCGAATCTCTTGGCCTCTTCCTGCATGCTTTCCTTTATTTTCAGGATAGCAGCCGATTCTATTTGGTCCTGGAAAAAATAAAAAGAAATCGAAGGTTTGCTTTAAATATAAAACTAAGTTTTGCGTCCTAATGCCAAACGACAATATAAATAACAATTTCATAATCGACTGAAATGCCAGGGCCGCTACAAACCGACCATTCTCTGGATAAGATGTCGAAGGCTTCATATTTAATTACAGGCAACAAACAAGCTGAAGTGGCGCAAATCGTACATCAAATCAAGTATCATGCAATATGGTGAGTACAAGCTGACATTTAAACATTTTAAGCAACGAAATTAATTTTATGCGATATTTAACCAAATCGGAATCAACATACAGTAAAAGCTCCTTATTCTTCGCGCAAAAACAATGCAACACATTTCCTATATTCGCTTCAAAATTTACCGAGATTTAAAACTTTAATTTCATAATTAAACCACTTTTCATAAGTCTATAATATTTTAACGTGTTCGTTCCAACTATCAGCTCTATCACCGATCAAGATTTCAAAAGAGTAAACCTGAGGTGGTCCTTGAAGTTCTCCGAACCATCGCCTAAGCCTAAAGTTAATTCATTAAAATGTTCAATTACTTAAATGATATTTTTATTTTGTTTTGTCAACTAAAAACGTATCCCCTATAATTCTATATAAAATGCCATTTCATATTCACGGTTTCTATATTTAATTAATTTACCCGAGATTAAGAAACTTTTACTGTATTTCATCAATGATTGTTCGAATATTATATTAGAATTATTAAGTACAATATGAAAAAATACGTTAAATATAAGATTAAAACTCAGCCCTGGCAAATACTTTGGCAAACGCTTTACATCTGAATATTAATAATATCTACGATCAAACTTAACACGATTTACAAAACATGCAGACTCAATATAAGCTTAATAAATATTTGTTTCAAACAAGTGCCAATTTTTAATAATTAATATAATGAGCCAAGTATATTCATTTACATTTTAGTACGTGTTTTTTTATATTACATGAATTCAATTGTACTTGGTAAAAAGTAATATTTTAGTCTTTTACACACGCATCAATGTATGCGACGGCAAACCAAAATTACTTTAAATCACTATATGCCAATGTTGTAAGTACATAGATTTGACAATTACAATGTTCATATGTATGTCTTTAAAATGTTACATTATTATAAAACTAATACATTTAATTATGAACCATATCTGTACAATTTTGATTGAGATATGTTATTCTAACATTATATTCTCTATTTAAGCACAAAATTGTACTGCATAGTATTATCTTGCCACATATGCATATATAATCTAGGAATATTTTGAACATATAACAATCAAGCACTACCACCAATTTACATGAAAACCTATTGTGTTCTATATTCAGTTTGACATCGACTCATTGCCAAAAATCATTTATCCAAGATAAAAAGACAGATGGAAAAGCACGATTTAAAAAAAAATTAATGTACTTGAAATAATAACAAATATTTTATAAACAACTATTATTTATTGAACAGAAGTAACAAAATACATAAGTTGTAATGTTTGTACTCTTTGTTTTGAACAATTTACCAAAAACTATAACATTAAAAAAATCAAGCTGTACAATAAAACAAAATTAGTAAGTGTAATTATAATGAAAAAATAAAATCACTGTTTTTTGTTCATGCAAAATCAACTAAAGAACAGATGACATAAGCAGGAATAGGTGGTAAAAAGATCGGGCAAGATCAGGCAGAGGTAGATAGCAGTTTATCTGATGGCAGAGCAACTAATTTGATATCATTTGCCAGTTTCTATACAACATGCGAATTCGTTTGAGAATATTTCATATAGTTCAAAGAAAGCATTCAACTATTTACCAATTTAAAAAAAAAGTTTTAAAAATCGCGTACACTGCATCTGATCAATATCAGACGCTACACTTGCATATATTCTTATAAACAAATATATTTATAACTATATTATTAATTAACTAATTTAAACAGTACATTGTACCTTCTTCAATATTCATCTATCACGAAAAAACTAAGAATAGATTACTTTTCGAGTACTGGAAGAAAATTAAAGATTATCATGCAATATGTACATGTGCTCCAATTTTCTGGCAAAACTTTATGGCGGTTTCTAGAACTATCTATACAATTTAAATATGACTCCTTAGTTAATTCAGATTTAAAATTCTAGAGAACACTTAGGACATATATAATACACAGTGATGTTCAGACATCTTAATTACATCACAACCACATAGTAATTTAGTTTCTATTGTTTCACAACTAGTAGACTAACGCTTAATTCTAATCAACTGGTATTAAATTAAACTAGTTTTAAATTAAATAGAATCATCAAAATTCAATAAACAATCTTCAAACAAATCAAAATCTTTCATAATTCTCTAAATAACAGTTGTTGAAACTTCAGTTCATTTAAAACACTGGGTCACATAGTAGAAAAACTTTTTAGTAGAAGTTATTATTTATCTAATCATTTTATAAACGTACCATTAAATTCATTATCAATATTATGTTATTGAATGTGTTACAACGGACAGTGTGTTATAGGCAATGATGTATTTATAGTTATCAATCAATTATAGTTAGTTTGTATGAGAATAGAAAATAATTCAAACATAGAGAAAGTATTTAGCCACATTGATTATAAAAGAAATAATCCTACGTTATGTGTAACAATTTGCTCGCAGAGGTAATAAACACACATGCACATGAGGAAAATAATGCATATTTCCTAAATATACACATAAAAAACATACAAATTAGTTTACATAGTGAACTTAATAAAACAACAGACGGGATTTTAAAAGAACATAACATAAACACCACTTTAGTGGGTATTTATTTGTCGCAGATTTTTTCTACTGACTGATTTTTACATCAACAAATTTGAAAAAGAGAATAAATCAAATTTTTATTTGGATCATAGTTTGCATACTAATAAAAACAACTCGATTTATTATGAATATGTATTGCAACTATTTTGCATCAATAAACATCATTGTGATGTTCAAAGATTAGACAAAAAGAAAAGAAACAGATTTTTTTTAAATATCACTATGTACACACCCATACCTCGCTTTACGTCGATTTGTTTTGCGTTTTTTTTTCAGGCTTAGGAGTAATTTTTACAAGTGTTGTTAGATTTTTGAAGATGCCTTATATATACAAAAACTTAATGTGAAGCTGAAACAAGGTGGCAGTATCGATTGTAAATGATATTGAGCTCTGGGATACCCTATGTATATATCTTCTATTTTTTTTTGCATCAACTGACATAAATAAATTGCTAAGCTTGATGAACTAAAAATTCTCTAATAAAGAACTATGATTGCAATTTGCAAATGAAGATTATTGGGTCAACAGTCAATAGAACTATTGAATATCAGAACAAATCTTATTTAATTGACACAACTATGGAGATTCTTTTTAAGTAAAAACATCCTAACAGCGGAAGGTTTTAAAATGTCCCAGAAAGTAGCTACAAAAAAAATCACTACAAAAATATTTCATATTGAAAAAAGCTGTACAGCAAACTTTGGATCAATTTTTGCAAGGGTTTGCTAACTTGGGACTACAGCCATTGTGAATTCATCAAACTACTATGATTTTTAATTAAATAGTATATTTAGAGACAATTATTTAACAAAAATTATATTTCTGTAATTATGAAAACTATCTTCGGTCTTGATCTTTTGCTTTTTTTTTTATTATCACGACGCAAAGTGAGGTATGGGTGTACTCGTCTGTAAAATACTATAGGCATGCATAATTTTATATAAGTGCATGTGCATACGTGTGCATGTGCATTAGCATGTATGCATCTTTGCATATATGTAGAAATTTCAGTCATATATACAAATGCATAAATTACAGATAAACATACATGTAAGCACATCAAGAAATAATTTTTAAATTTTAGTATAATATGCCTAATTGAAAACCAAAAATATTGTTAAAATAAAACTATTGAAAACCTATTCAAAAATTTTGAATTTAGAAAAAAGTCACAAACTATGAAAATAATGTGCGAAGTAAGTTATTCGTGCCTATAACAGTGTGAATGTGTTGTCAGTAAACATTAGGGCAAGATAGTAACACAATACACTGACAATATAATTAGCAATGTCCGATATTGCAAAATCTATTTCTATAGTGTTATCCTAATATATTCATTAGGACGATATCCAAGCAGCTACAATGGTTCATTGCTTGCGATGTGCTTCAAGAGTCTATGGCTGATTAAATAGTCCACATCTAATGATATGATAAATTTATTTTAATAGTACTTAAGCCGCTAGACATAACATAAATTCATTTCAAAGACTTACATAATTGCACAAGTATAATTAATTGCTCAGAACACATTATTATAGTAAAAATTGTCTACAATTTTACTGTTAATTGATTGAGCGTATAAAATAAATAATACAATTGAAAATCGTGGCTCATTATGCACAAACTATGCATAACATTAAAAGTAAGAGACTAATAAAAACACATATGCTAAAACACCTAAGTTGTACTATGCAGCTTTTATACATAGAGTGCAATTGTCTACTCAAATTCATGTAATATATTCCTAATTAACACATTTCACACAGAGAACAAAATATCGATATCATACAACAAATAATCACCCAAATTATTCACATACAAATATTTTGATTAATTCTTATCGCTCGGTTATACAAATTTCTTCTAATAAACAACATTGAGTGTCACAAACATATTTAATATTTGGATAGCCAAACATTAGAAATTCAATAATAATAATAGAAAAAACGTGGCAAAGGCAAGCAGAAACATAGAATGTGACATATTTATGTTCAGTTCAATTTAAATCACACTAACCCTGTCAGAATGTCAGTGATACTCACATTTTCACCTTGGCCCCCAAATCCTGTTAAATTGTAATCTCCCATTCCACTCCCTGAATCTTCACGTGGAGTGCTGGGGCCTCCATTTGCGGGTGAATTTTTCATTCCATCTAATCCGTCACCATTCAACACTGGTCCCATTGTGTTTGGCCCCATTGGTCCCATGGGACCACCATCAGGACCACCGCCCATTGGAAAGTCCTAAGGATAATGGAAATAAGTTTGAATTTAATATCTCAGTGAAAATATAAACTAGTTGTAACTGGAAAGTGCTATTTTGCATTAAGGCAAGCTGCATGAACTTCGTGTAAACATTTTCTTCAAAATACATCACTCGATTGAGAATTCTTATTTGTTATTAAGAAATGCGATGTTTAAATTTGAAATAAATTTTTATTGATAATGATTGGATAATATTAATGGAAAATACCGCCTCAGTGAAAAGTAAAATAAAAATAAAATTGATACTAACCCCAGGCATATTTCCTCCAGGAACTGTTTTCATTAACGTGTACATATTTTCACCACCCGAATTGGAAGAATCTGCAAAAGCAGTTTAGTCAATTAAGGAATTTATTGTTAAATTATTTAATAAAGAATAAAAATTAAAACTCACCCTGCGGACTAGGCATTATAGGTGTACCAGGACCGGGTGGCCCTGTTGAACCAGGGGGTCCCTAAAAATATGTTACTATTAGATGATCATTTCTACTATTTTGATTGAAAATGGTGAACATTAAGTGCAAATAAGTTACAAAAAGAACTAGATTACTTACCCCGTAATTTCCAGGTGATGAAGAGGAGTAGTTCATAGGCTAAATATAAATTTTTGGAAATTAATAAATTTAATTTCAAATACAATTTGCTGTATTGACCAGAAAAGATGCAGAAAACAATTTAAATAGTAAAAGACAGATTTTAACAGAAGTCAAACAATATGTACATTGTTCTATTTAAATAAAAGTTGATTTCAGGCACTGATTTCACATTACTTCATACTAATTAGAACCTCTACAACAACATGAGTCTTAAAAAAATGAAATTGTTTGCAAAAAATGCTATATTCTTAATGTAGTTATATACCGTTGATGTGTTGGGTTGCCACTGAGGTCTGCCGCCTGCCATTCCCATGGGAGGCATTCCTGGGCCACCTGGACCTAAGCTACTGTTTGGAGGTGGTCCACGCATTCCTGGGCCGTAAGAACCAGGACCCATGGGACCCATACCTGGACCTCGGGGAGGATTCATTCTCGGATTCATTGGGTTCATTCCAGGAGGACCTAAAGAAATCATAGTATTTAAAAAAAAATTCATACTCATAAAAATAACATCAAATTTATCAATGATAAACAAGTTTTCAATTTTTAAAATTATACTAAGTTATATAAAAAGTCAAAGTTTAAATTAGTCTTAAATATAGTATTCTATTAAAAGCTACTAATGATTGGTTGTTTGTAATTTGCACAAGAGCTATCGCAAAAAAAAAACTTGAATACTATTCACTTAGTATAACTGATTGTCACATCAAATAAAGATTCTTCTAAAATAATTTTGGAATCAAATAGTGCCTGCATTCAGAGATCTTTAGAATCAATATATATATAAATTAGAGTAGGTCAATTCTGTGAGTCATTTCAGGAAACTATAGCAAAGAAGTCAATTTCAAACCAGCGAAATTTTCATCAAAGTTTTTTCCATATGTCTAAATACAATATACAAGAAAAATCATATTTTCTAGTCTAGAAATTTGGTAATTTTTTCGGCCCAATACAATTTGACCCGCCCTATATATATAATATATATGTAAGGCTAAGAATCTACAAGAATTGCACCAATTCGAAGAATATTTCGACTTTCAGAAACTTTTTCCTGTCCTATGATTGAAAACCAGATTAACTCGTCGTATACACCAGTTAGTGATCAACAAACTAAAAACAACCGTACCAAATATTAATTATCAAACATACAAATACACAAACACAACATTCAGTACCAAAATAAGCAGAAGCAATTAACAAAATTATTTACATGGCAGAGGATGCTAAAATGATACCTAAAATTAAGCAAAATCATATGAGTAAGAAACAATGCAAATGTAAATGAGTAATAGTAATACATTTGCAATGTAAACAATAATCAATATATAAATATATATAAAAATGAAAATATTCATATGGCCTATTCAGTATGATGCATGATATTACTGGTTTCCCAAACAGACTTATAGATGCAAGCAAGATGGATCTTATAAAACTAAACTCAAAGCATTGAATGTGTATAAGTAAATAAAAAATGCAAGTGATTGCAATTAATAAATCATCTTACATAAAACATCTATGAGTCAAATAAATATACCTAGAAGCACATACATAATATCAAAAAATAAAAAAACATCAAAGTATACAGGTGCTTATAAATAAACAATGTGGGAGTTTATATAAAGCGGTTAATAGCAGGATTTTGCAGGGTTCCATCCACATACATAAAATATGTATTATATATGTATAAAGTGTTTTGTATGATTTGCCTACCTTGCCAACCTACAAAATCACCTGCTTCACCTGAGAAAAAATATCATGATAATGTTATTTTACTGTTGTTTAGCATGCTCATATATTATAATTAAATAGGGCATAAGCAAAGAGTTTATTTTCGGTTCTCCATTTTCAGAATTTTGATTTAGTTGTCCGATACTTCTTTCATACATTGAGCTGTCATAAATTGCTATTTCACATACATCAAGAATATGGGGTCCAAAAAGTGAGTTGTTGGTATAAATCAATTCAACTATAGCTTACCGTAATATAAACTTGAATCAATAAAACGTCAACAAGACTGACTGCCAGAAATAAATCAATGATAAAAATTGTACTTTTTATAAATCAGGCAAGCATCAGATAATATTGAATAATTGTAAATTTGAAAACACATTACGTCGTTCAAAGTTGGATGATTAATCAAAACTACAAGTCATTTGAAACATAAGTGCATTGATCTAAATATAAAAAATGCAATACACCTCATAAAGAAATTCGTATAGTTTGTTATTTAACAAAATGTTAATAAATTAACAATAACAAACGTCACCTTGAATGTCTCAAAACCTGCACAAATGTGTATTTAGCAACCTAAAAATATACTTCATAGTCACACACACTATTAAATTTGAAAAGATTCAAAATAATGCACATTGTAGCAAAACCGATTTTTCAAGCCGAGCAATTTTAATTTATCAAATAAAAAACTTGAAATATTACCTTGCCGCGTGGGATCCATGCTATTAGGCATCATAGGTTGTCCAGGAGGCTAAAAATAGAATAATATAGTAAATATACAGATTCAACATACGCTTAACACTATAGATTATGTTAAACAATTTTCTGTTTAATAATTAGCAAGATGTTTTACTTCAAAGTGGGATAAAACGTAGGATAATATTTTCATTAAAAATCTGGCATTTAATGATTATACAATTGAAGTTTTGATTCTACCTCATTGCCACCAACTAGACAATCAAGCTAAAAATATATCAACTTACTCCATTAAAATCATTTCCAATTCCTTGAGGCATCCTCACACCAGGCCTAGGACCCGCAGGATACCTGGGACCTCCCATAAACGTCTGCAACAGGGTAAAATAAAATGTTCTGGGCACAACATGATGCACATATATATAAATTTGATTTTCAAAAAGTTAAGTTAATGCTTTTGTACAACAAGCAATATAAGCTATAAAAATTCTCTGTATTTAAATTTATTTAAATAAATCACAGAGGATATATGCATGGCAGCAGATAAATAAGTGGTTAAAAAGAATTCAACACCACACGACAATGACCACAGACTAAAAATTAGAATATCAATTATTTAACATGTTTGTGGCAAATAGTACAGCAGATCAATAGATTGAAATTGATCCATGAATTCAAAATTTGCTATTTCATGTGGAAGTTATTATTATTAAGCAACAAACATGTTAAAACATTTTTAATATCCAATCTTTAATATACATGCACTCATAGCAAAACTGGAGATTTCATATTGCATCGGAGTTTTACTGTAACTTATTGCATTTTAATGATGCAATTTCAAAGGATTTTGTGCAAGAATTTGCAAAGCTACTTACCTTTATACAAAAATTTCTGATGTTCATTTACAGGTTTGATTGTCCAAAAAATCATATTTCAATCCAATAGACCTGTTATTGAGTTTCAAGTGTTAAATCAGACGAGTGAAGCAAGTGATTTATATTTATACTCATAATTTTTATATAATTCACAAGCTTTAGTAGCAACAGCACTACTTGTACTTTTTCTACTAGACTGAACATTCTCTATCGTCATGACTTCTTACCAACTACTTTTCTGTCATCAAAGTGCCCGAAGCGCTTTGCCCAATGTTTTAACCAAAATGCTGTTGGTAAGAAGTGATGTTAAGCAAAATCTATAAACTGCATGCAATATCTCTTATCCGATGCAATAAGAAAATGAATGATGTGTGCATGTGGTGCGTGCATGAGATGTGAAGCATTTGCGAGTGCTTTTGGCTGGTGCCCGGCCTACAGTACTGACCTGACCAGGCATCATTTGACTATGAGAAGGCGGGGCTTGGGGGTGCGGAGAAGGCTGGCTAGATGGATGTGTGGGCGGTGATGGCCTCATTGTGGAATTCTGAAACAACATACAACGACATAACATTCAAAGCATTCACAAAAACAAACAGAAGCAGTGAAAACGGTCCACAAAAAACACACACATAACGTCAGAAGACCAAACGACGCGATTTTTTCGCTAATTTAGAATGCACCAAGTACATATAATGTCTTCCGGAGACCGATCATCAGGGTAAGATTTGTAAGCCAGAATAAGGATTACTATGGAATCAGTCACACCACCAAACCTTGTGTGTTGTGTGTATGAACGCGAGCTTTCATACTACATGCAGATACGTGAATGAATTTCTCAAATATGATTTAGGTCTATATCACCCCTAAACCATGAATCCATTCGAAGCCATGAAGGAATAAAACAAATCAAAACATGACAATACTAAAGAAGAAAGTATATTCATTTAAGGATTGCTAGATTTTTTTGGATGATGAAATTAGTTGAAATTTTTATGCGATGAAGGAAATTGTGCTTTAGGTGCCTGAAACAAAATTACGTACAATACACAACTGACAACATAAAGTATATGAATCACATACTATGAAAACATTGAAGGAACATATTATACACAGGAGACAAGCAAATGGCTATGAAACGAGAAAGTGGCCGTTTTGTTTTTCTAGGTTTGGCGACATGCATGTGTGTGCTTCAAGCGAGACTCATGTAAATTATAAACAAAAATGACAAAAATTTATGAATTGAACGAGAACTTATGGAGCAACTCACTGGAAAGAAACCTGGTGGCATTGGACCTCCCGGCATGCCATCGTTAGGGGGTATTTGGCCCAACGGACTTTGCGCAGGACCCGCATTCTGTAAAAGAAAAATTTTCATGTAACATGATTTACAAACATAAATGATATAATAAAAAAAAGTAGATTCATGAGTATTAGATTCATCACATGCATTTTCAAAAATCAAGGTAGCTTTAAATTTAAAGCTCAAGTTATAAACTAGGTCTCATTATAAAATAATTATCAAGCAATATGTGTTACATGTGTATTGCTATCACTTTTCTCCGTACTTTTTATTTTGTTAATTGCTTTATTTAGATTTTTTATGTGTAAATTGAACAATAGAGCTTAGAGTTATCAATGATGTAATTATGACTGATACTTACATGTGCAATGCCGTTAACGCCATACCCGGAGTTGACAAAACCCTGAAATAAAATAAATTGATTAAACAGAAGATCATTATTGATGTCATTAAGTTATACCAAGCTAATGCATGCGAAAACTATTTTCTTATGTGCCACTACCTATCACTTGTTTTACGAATATATTGCTCTACTTTCTAATATTCCGTAGTTATTTCAATTCGACGCGAAATGTGCGTATGAAGCAATCATACGATACGGTCAAGGCTGAGCAGTCCAAATCCGTAAATCATTTAAATATTTCACTTTAGTGTACTGAACTATTATCGAGATCTTTCAGCACCAGTAAATACAGAAGATTGATGTATGATAAAATTTAAAAAAATAAGACATTTTCAAAGTATATAAATATTAGTAGAAAAATAATTATAGATCGCGATGCGACAGGTTCAGACATCCAAGCTATTAGCCTAGCGACATTGAGATATAGGCGCCAACAGTAACAAATAGAGATCGAATTCATTCGCGCAGTGGATTCTTCCTACTTTTACAGCACAGATAACACCGTATGGAGTATACCTAACTTTTATTGTCTATTGAGATAATGCAAGCAAGTAGTTAAAAAAAATTGATTTTTGGACATGCGTTATGTCGCAATTTATCTACTTCTTGTGTTCTTCAAATATTCAAAATTCAAATATAACAAAATTAATTACTTAAAGAAATTTTAAATGCTCCAAAGTACCGTAGTGGTTAATATATAAAAACGCCGACATAGATACAATAAACACCATCATGAAATACGAACATATTCAAAAAATTGTAAAAGCTGCATCGAGGATTATCCAAACCCAGTTGCTAGAGAACTGCGGGGCAAAATTAAAGAAGAAATTGATGTTACATTAATTTAAGTCAATTTCCAACATCTCTGACAACGGTCAGAAGATTTTTGTATTTTTTAAGTCATTTTTTCCCTTACTGTTTTACTTGTTGCCAATATCAGGGCAGATGTAAAAGATCACTATATAATAATAATAAACAAATTCTTGTATAATCTTCGACATTTGTTTGCAACTTCGTAAGCTAATATCTAATTTTTCAAATATTCAATTTAAATCTAAAACCATTATGCATTTTCAAACTATTAGTTTACAAAATTACTAAATTCTATTATTTGCAAATTATATTTCTTTCCGAATACTGCTGTATTTTATTGAGATTTTTTTAATTTTTAATTATGAGTAATTTTTTATATGTCAGGTAGGCAGAAGTATCTAGTATGGGAGATCATACAAAATATCTATACGTATTACATATACATTTACATAACATTATATTATATGGCCATATTTCAAAGTGTGCAAAATTTATAAATTCTATAACAAGCACTATATATAAACAAATTCATTAACTATGTTGTTTATAAATTTATATAATTTAATAACAGGCCCATGTTATTAACTTACCGTAAGGTAAGTTATAGTAACCGCAATAAATTCGAAAATTTATATTTCTATATATATTTACGTTTCAAGGCACCCTGAGCATTTTAGCATAACATAGAAAAAAATGATGTGCGTGTGATGTGTGTATGTAGTATGGATGTGTGCATGTTTGGATACAATTTTGCGAGAACGGGTCAACCGATTTGAATGATTCAAAAGATTCGTTTTGACGGGAAGAGGTGCTGGTTAGTTTTTGAGTAGGTAGGTCCAACGGTTTTGGCGATCCATAAAAGTTGAGTGTATTCAAAGAAATACTATTTTTGGTAGTCAAAAATAGATCATTTGATATATGCACACAAATTATAAGAAATTTTATAAATAATTTAAAAATAATTATTTCTTTTTCTATGGGTTCCGTAGCAAGATTTATATTTTTTACCCGTTAGGCTGCAACACGGCGCTTATGCGTCGCTTCTAAAACCGCTACGCATCGCAATCGCTTTGAAAAAATTCAAAATTATCAAAAAAAAAATATAAACTTTTAATTTATACGCTTACGAGCTTTGATCGTCTCTGATACGGGTTTAAAAAAAGTTCGAAATATTCAAAAAAATTCGAACAAAATATAAAAAAAGGATGTTTTTTTTTAAAAAAAAAAGAGTTTTCAAAAAAAAATTAAAATTTTCGGTATGGAAAGTTACAGCAAATTGCCTTTATGTACGATGCCATGCACCAGCAGTTTCTCCCTAAATAAAACCGCGTATGTCAGACATGGCTCATGTAGGACTTCTTAGCGTCAGATACATATAACTGACATGGCGATTAACGTGTTAAAAAAAGTAAATCATAAATCAGAATGTTATTGAACAAATAGGAAAACATTAACTTCCCGTAGGGTAAGTTATTGTAATGGGTCGAAAATCGGAATTGAAAATTTTTACATTTCTCGACGTTTTGAAGGTTTCTGAACATTTTGGCATACTTCAGAAAAAATGGATGTGTGTGTGTGTATGTATGTATGGATACAATTTTTCGCCCACGTTTTCGGGCGTACGGATTAACCGATTTGAATGGTTCAAAAAACATTCGATTCTTATTGATAAGGAGATGTGCCGATTAGTTTTTGGCAAAGGCAGGTCCAGCAGTTACGGAGATAAAGAGCAAAGAGTGCAGAAAATAGAAATCGAGTTTTTGAGAGAACGGAGCATCCGATTTGAATGATGTAAAAAACATTCAATTAGTAATGATTGGGAGAAGTGGTTATTAGTTTTTCGCAAAGGCAGGCTTAGCCATTTCGAAGATACGGAGCTAAATGTACAAAAAATGGCAGTTTTTGAGAAAACTAAGCGTCCGATTCAATTGATTCAAAGAACAAAATAATAGATTTTGGAAAAAAAATTTTGTCTCATTTTTTTTTTTTTTTTTTAATTTTTTGTATATCGAAAATAATTCATATTTTATTTTTAATTCTGACTATAGTTCTAATATACTTTGAACAAATAATTTCAACTTTGCAATTCAGTTTATATAATTCTTATAAATATTAGACAATGTTACAATATTTATAATAATCTATTTGAAAACATTCAGTGTTCCTCGAACATTTCTTTACGGTACGGGAAGTTCCAGCAATTTGCCTTAAGGCACGATGCCACCCACCCCACTAGTTTATTTGTTCAATTGATAAAAAGAGAATGTTGTTGAAATGAAAATATTGAACTAGTTGCAAAAATGAAAGAATGAAATAAAAAAGAATGGTGTACCGCTTGAGAAACCGTGATGGATAGAAGAGCATAATATTGTATATAGTGGAGCGGCGCTGTTGCCACGCCGCACGAGTAGAGGTTAGCGCGATGAGTTCGTTCGGTATTGATCGCGCGGGACCAGTCCAGTCCGACGGCGCACGGGCGCACGGGCGCACAAGGCACAAGTGAAGTGACGAGCCGTGCAGGAATAAACGATACGTCCGTCCCGCTCGGTACGCGGAGCGCGAAGGTAGCTACATGTCATTCCCCGCCACCGCCACGGCGAATAAACACGCACACTGGCGCAGGCGTACGGCGCACACCACCGACAACGTCTGACACACACGTGTAAACAAAACGACCGGCGCGACGCCGACTATGCGACTATGCCACCGCCACCGTCACCGGTATGTTACCAATTTCAACTGCATAACCCCCAGAACACCAGAACACCAGAGAAGAAAGAGTATCAGAATGGTTCGATCGACGGAATGTCATACGCAAATCAAGTCAAAATAGCCAACACTATTTAATAACAAACAATCACCAAAATAATGATTTGTGCGAAACTAAAATGCGTAAATATAGGGTGAACACGCATATATATGTTTGTATACAAACCAAATAAAAAACAGAGCGAAGGCACCCTTTAAAAGACAATACATGCGTTTGAAGAAAAACTACAAAAATTTTAACTAGTAATGCATGGCATCGTGCCTTAAGGCAAATTACTTGAACTTCCCATACCGAAAAACAAAATTAAAAAAAAGAACTTTGTACAATATTAGATTTTTGAATTTTTTGAAAAATTTTGACTTTTTTGAAAAATTTAAAATCTTCAAATCAATCAACATTTTTTCAAATCAATCGCGTAGTTGTTTTGGAGACGGAATGCGTAAGCACCGACATGCAGTCTAATGGATAAGCATTGGTACGGAATCTATAAGAATGTAAACAAAATTTGTACTTATTGATATCTCTATAACATATCTGATAATTTGCATATGGTCATTTTTGGCCTTTTTTTTTAACTTCCCGTAGAGTAAGTTATTGTAATGGGCCGAAAATCGGAATTGAAAATTTTTACATTTCTCGACGTTTTGAAGGTTTCTGAACATTTTGGCATACTTCAGAAAAAACAGATGTGTGTGTGTGTATATATGTATGTATGGATACAAATTTGCAGTCACGTTTTAGGGCGCACAGATCAACCGATTTGAATGGTTCAAAAAACATTCGATTCCTATTGATAGGGAGATGTGTTGATTAGTTTTAGGCAAAGGCAGGTCCAGCCGTTTCGGAGATACGGAGCAAAGAGTGCAGAAAATAAAAATCAAATTTTTGAGAGAACGGAGTATTCGATTTAAATGATCTAAAAAACATTCAATTAGTAATGATTGGGAGAAGTGTTTGTTAATTTTTGGCAAAGGCAGGCCCAGCCATTTTGAAGATACGGAGCTAAATATGTAACAAATGCCAGTTTTTGAGAGAACTAAGCGTCCGATTTAAATGATTCAAAGAACTTTTTGCTCGTCTTAACAAAATAATTGATTTTAAAAAAAAAATTTGTTCCATTTTTTTTTTAGTTTTTTGTATATCGAAAATATTTCAGATTTTATTATAATAATCCATTTGAAAACATTCAGTATTCCTCGAACATTTCGTTACGGTACGGGAAGTTCCAGCAATTTATCTTAAAGCACGATGCCAAAATTGCCTCAAGACAGAATTCCACTTACAACTAGTTACTTATCTTGTTGAATCTCCGAAACTGTTAGATCTACTCTACCTCCCCAAAAAATTAATCAATTCCTAATTCCCCTAATACAAATAAAATATTTTTTGAATCATTCAAATCGGATGCTCCGTTCTCTTAAGAACTGAATTGCAATTTTTGCACATTTTGCACGTATCATCGAAACGGATGGACCTGCCTCTGTCAAAAATTAATCAGCACGTCTCCCAATCGATAAGAATCCAATGCTTTTTAAATCACTAAAATCGGTTGACCGGTGATCTCGATCCATATACAAACACATACATCAATTTTTTCTAAGGTATGCCAAAATGTTCAAATAACTTTGAAACGTAAAGATTTGCGAGAATTTTATTTTCGATTTTTTTGTGATTATTATAACTTACCCTACGTGAAGTTAACAAAGCGATGGCGCCCTTAAAAAAAATGCGTTTGAGGAAAGGTCATCCGATTTTTAAATAATATGTAAATATCGGAAGTTTTTTGTAAAATATTAGCAATGAAATAGGACAGAAAGATAGTGGCAAACTTTTGATTCGAATTGTACTCGGTCACGAGAGATAAGTACAGACGTGGCCTTGATAACGTACAACTCCACGCCATGAATTACTCGACAGCCCGCTCGAGTGAGACAGGAGCAAAGTGGCTCCGAGGTGAAATGAGGGCGAGCATCATCTGCCGATGGTGGGGCAGCTCGAACACTTCGCCAAGAACGAAAGGCGAAATGCACCTCTTACAACTTTCGCGCCACATTCAATTTTTGCCACCCATAATAAAATTAAATAGTTGCATTGAAATTAGTAAACAATGTTGGAGCAAACATTCAAATAATTTAAAATAAACAAGCTCATAAATGTGAACACATCGTTATTCATCACATTATTATTATTTATTAAATTAGATTTGGTCAGCGATAAACGATCGCGATTAAATATTTTCACACAGGCTACACACGGCTGTAGTTGGTACGTGTTCTATTTTGGATTAAAAATATTGAAACTTCAAGGCTACCGTATCTATCTTTAATTCGGGGCTTCGTATGGATACGAACGTTATATCGCAAAACATACCGGCAAAATTCAAATCCATCATTTGCACATTGAAGTAATATAGAATTTGGATATAGTTTTCGTAAGCTTGATTATTTTTAGTAATGTGCAATTTAAGATTTAATAAATTCAATGCGTGAAGAAAGCATAAGCGCACTGGCTATATTTGAGATAACGATTATGTAACCGGCGTTGCAGAACTTTTCAGGCGTAAACTACTGTAATAATTTAAAATACAGAATGCGAATGCATAACTTTACACGGCGTAGCAAAACATGCAATCTGAGTTCAATTTAAATCCAAAACATGGCTATTGACATTGTGCATTGAGAATGTTCAAAATTTTTTGAGAATTTAAAAAAATACATTTTTTGAAAATTTTGCGTTTTTTGAATTCAGATTTTTTTGAAATCATTTGGAAAATGTTTGAAATAATTTGATGAAATTTTTGAACCCATTCCAGTCGGTTGAACCACACTGTCGAACTTGTGGAGGACATTTGTTTGAATTATTTATTTTCAGAATCACTCGAATCGGTAGATCTGTGCTCTCAAATGACGAAAATTTGTATTCGCACATACACACATGCATACGACACAAACACACACATACACATACATTTTTTTTCTTATGAATTGCAAAGTGTTCAGAAACTTTTAGAACGTAAAGATATGCAACAAAAATCATGATTTCTTTGCTATTTATATAACTTACGCTATGGGAAGTAAATCATGAAGATATAAAAAAAATTGTGATTTTATATATATTTATACGTTTCGACACTAGATGTGTGTCATCCAGCAATTGTAATAGTTACAAAAATTGGAAAAATATTTAAATACTACAACTATATACAATACAAAGAGTAGAACAAGAAAGGACGAAAAATAGAATTATATTTATAAATTTAAAAAAATTATAAATACAAATATATGTATGTATCACAATATAGACAGACTTTTTCCCGAATGCGTCGTATAGTCTATGTTCTCAAACAATTGTTATTACTAATTAATCTGTAATTACTGATAGTATAAGTAATACGTGCTAGTGCTTAAGCTTTTGCTCCATTTTTTTCATATGACTTTCATATGATGTGAAAAATCATATGTGGAAACGTATAAGAAAATATTGGTTCTATACGGATCTAACTTAAGTTATGTGTAAAACTAATATTTTATTATTGATAATTTAACTTACATAATCGTGAAATGCTTTGGCTTCTGATGAATGTTCACATGTATCCCTTCGCTCAGGTGCCGCACAGTACAGGTCCCAAAATACACTTAAACAGATCAATCTTTAATGAATATAATAATATGATATAATAATATTTATGAATTTATTATTTAATACATTCATATAATAATGTTGAGTTAGATAATTGTAATTTCTGACTTAAATTAAAAATTTATAGAAATTATTTACTCACCACCACCACGAATGTAGAAACCCAGGAGGTTCGCCTAACGTTATATTTTTCTCCCATCGGATCTGAAATAAAGTATATTAATTAGTTACATCTTAAAAATCGAGCAAGAAATTTTGTAAACCAGAACAGAAATAGAGCACAATTACAAATAAATCAATCGTGATAGATCAATACTCCACGTATTGTATACAATTTTTAAATTTTAAATTACTTTTAATTATCAAAATCTGAAACGTAAATTTGATAAGACAATTAGCCGCAATCTTTATCAGGTGTGATAGGTATTGTAATAATTAATTTATTAAATTACTTACTTCTGACAGGAATGTTTGTGCTGCTTTTTGTGCTCCTACGTGTAATAAGTATTCGTAAACATAAAGGGCTAATCTGAAAGAGAAATACACTGATTAGTAAAATAGATTTCGAAAAATTAATATTTTATTAATAAATATACAATATAACAAATTTTAAACAATGTTGTTATTACTGTAAATAAAATAGAAAATAACCCAGTGGTTTTCAAATTGTGGGGCGTTTCCAAAACGCTATTTTTGAAATTATTGAATTTTTTTTTAATTTAATGATATCAAATAAATGAACGAACAAATAATTATTTTTTATGAATTTTTACATAATATTACATATTTAATTTTAGCATGTTGAATAAACTATAACAGTTCAATATTTTTTTTAAGAAGTTGGATTGTTAGAAAAATTAAGGGGATGCAACAATTATTTTTTAAAGAAACGAGGAAACGCGGTGCAAAAAGGTTGGAAACAACTGCAATAACCTGTAATAAATAATAGAACGTTTCAACAAAATAAGTTTTTTAAAATATAAATTATAAATTAAGACATGAACAAAAATTGAATTAATTGAAGGTAAAAATTTTTTGTATTCAACTAATATCAGCATTTTTTGCAGCCAAAATACTCCTTAAGTAATTTTGAGAGTAAAATGTAAATTATAAAGTTTACTCAGTAGTAAGCCTTTTTCACAGTTAGTTATATTTTGGAATTAAATTTAGTAAAATAAAATAATATTAATAAAGTAAAAGACAAACCATCGGATACCTTCTAAAACCAATTGTAGAATTGACAAAATTACTCAACGTCTTTCTATAGACTGTTTGTATTCTATATGGAAATAATAATAAAAAAAAAAGTTAAAAATATAGATCAAGTAAAAATAGCCCTCTATATTGATTTAAAAAAAATAGATTATCAATATTAGAAAAAATCAAATAATAAAAATATATCATATATAGACAAGACAACTAAGGGGCTAAGCCTCCGATAAAACAGACCGTAGTAATGTCAAAAAAAAAAATGTTATGACAACTGCATCTGTCTAACGTGTCATGAACACATACGTGAAGTTAGGTTTTATGTGTAAAACGCCTGATCGCACGTTAAATATATAGCATTGGACAGCTTTTACTACCGATTTACATAAAGTAAGGAGCGAATAATAGCGTTGCCATAACATTGCTGTGTTATGGTCTATTTTATCAGAGAATTGGCCCTTCAAAATAATAAGAGTGAACTGTACAATACAGAAACAATAAAAATAAACAGAAATAATTAACTCTTTGGGGACGGCTGTCCACCTGAGTGGACAAACATACTCTGTGAGGCACAGGCTATTTTATAAACAATGATGACTTAGTTTGCATCGAAAAGTTGTATAAATTACATATAGCAGTGATAAACAGTGTTGTATTTTAAAAATAATTTTAAGTTATTTTAGTAGTATTTTTACCCTTTTTCCTTGCTATATAGTCTTTTTTTAATATTTAAAACGACCGAGCGCTTTTAAATATGGCAAAATGACTGGTAAATTTTATGAATTAAGTAGTAGTGAATATGAGTTTCAAATAGACATTCATACATGCAAATTTTACAATTACAAATTCGCACCGAAGATAGTGATGAATGTGATGATATTATCCAACCAACAAAAAGAAGAAGAAGCTCGACAAATTGAATGAAGAGTGGAAAGACATTAGCGAATGTACCGATTCTCCTTCAATAATCGAGTTTGACATACATCAACAAACACCCCGACTACAAATACCAAGCAATATAAGATAACCAATAGATTATTTTACTCTATATTTTGCAAATGAATTATTAGACAATATAATAGAAAAAAAACAAACCATTATGGCAGCACAAAAATGAACAAATATACTGACTAACCACTGGCATATTCTAAATGCGAGAGAAAGAAAAAGGCATTGTATTGTCTGTTCTGACAGAAAAGCACCAGGGAAAGGCGGCGAACAACATTTTATTGTAAAACATGCCAAAATCAACCAGCTATGTGTTTTGAAAATTGTTTTGAACGTCACCATTCTTTATAAAATGATCAAAAATAAATTAATATTATAAATGTATGTCCTTCAATGACCACAAATTTTTATCGAACAATTTTTAACAGCAATCAGAACCTTACGTCCTATGAGCTGTTGGGCTCAAACTTCTCCTTACTTCGTAATTTTTAGATGGTAACCCAATGATTAATTCATCCATATTTGATGATTTTTGTTATTAGAATTAATCTAATAGGGCTGACTCTTATTGGTGCAGTAATGCCGGGTAAGGGCTATTTTCACTTGGAAACATATTGCTATCTATATTTCCAAGTGAAAATCGTTGTCACTGCTGCCTGACAACAGGCTGCTCGAAGTGGGTATCGAACCCGGGACCTCTGATTCAGAACATACACAATGAAATCAAGTTTAGAGCCGGTACAGTAGATTGTTTTGAAATCGGTGCCGTCCCGTAAGTATTAATAATTATATTCAAAATCAAAATAATGCTACGCCAGTAATGAAAGGTAATCGATAATTGTATGAGTATTTAAAAATATAGGGCAATGTTTCCTAAAGTGGTTTATATAAGCCCCCAGGAGACTGCCAACTTTCAGGAGGTCAAAAATTGCAGGGTCCACGAATTGAAAATGAAAAACTTGCAAAAAAAAAGTTTGGGAACCTATGTTCTAGGTGTTTATTACTAGGAATAAATGTTAAAAAAGAGCGAAAAATCAATGTCAGAGCGACAATATTATTTAATCGTCGTTATCAGTGTTATCTCTAACTCTACAGAGACGAGCGAGAGAGGAGCACGGTGCATTATCCAGTTGTCAAAAAGTTGAGCAGACGAACGGCGTGGCGTGTTCGCTGCCACACGTGGTCGCACGGCCCGCCGCTGCCATGGAAACAGGAACCCATGCGTTGATGCGAAAATACTTACGTCGAAGCAGAAGCAGACGCAGGTCGTTTCGTCGCACATTATCATGGATGGTGCATATGCGTACGTTCCGAATTAGACCGATATTGGGTATTGATAAATTATATAATCAATTATCTTTTATATAATAAGAAAGCGAATTAGTTACTTTCTATATATTTTACAGTATTGTAATTGACTGATTTGAATTCTGATGATTTATGAAAAAAAAAGTTATTTGGTGATGTTATTTATTGTCTCATGGTTAGCAGATGTTCCGCAATGGAATAGACGCAGATAAAACTAGTTGGGTGCATGGCATCGTGCCTTAAGGCAAATTGCTGGAACTTCCCGTACCGTAACGAAATGTTCGAGGAATTTTGAATGTTTTCAAATAGACTATTATTAATATTGTAACATTGTCTAATATTTATAAGAATTATATAAACTGAATTGCAAAGTTGAAATTATTTGTTCAAAGTATATTAGAACTTTAGTCAAAATTAAAAATAAAATCTGAATTATTTCCGATATACAAAAAATTAAAAAAAAAAGTTGAAAAATTTTTTTTTTCCAAAATCAATTATTTTGTTAAAATCAGCAGGAAGTTCTTTGAATCATTTAAATCGGACGCTTAGTTCTCTCAAAAACTGCCATTTTTTACACATTTAGCTCCGTATCTTCGAACTGGCTGGGCCTGCCTTTGCCAAAAACTAATAAACACTTCTCCCAATCATTACTAACTGAATGATCATTCAAATCGGATGCTCCGTTATCTCAAAAACTCGATTTCTATTTTCTGCACTCTTTGCTCTTTATCTCCGTAACTGCTGGACCTGCCTTTGCCAAAAACTAATCAGCTCACCTCCCTATCAATATGAATCGAATGTTTTTTGAACCATTCAAATCGGTTGATTCGTGCGCCCGAAAACGTGACTGGAAATTTGTATCCATACATACATACACATACACACACACACACACACACTCATCTATTTTTTCTGAGGTATAAATTTTCAATTTCGATTTTCGGCCCATTACAATAACTTACCTACGGGAAGTTAAAAATGTATATAGATACAATCATATATAATAATAAAAAATTAAAATTCTGGAAACGACAGGCCTGGATTATAACCAAACTTTTTTCAAATTTCATTTACAAGCACTCGTTGACACCCCTATTTCATATATTGTCAACTTCAAGAAATTTGAATCTTAGAGTTAAAACAAAAAACAATTATGTAAAGTACGATATGTGTATTATATAAAATCTTTTAGTAATTGTTTTATAAATTGTTATTTTAGTAGGTGGCTATAATAGCAACCTATTTGTATCTATTTATATTTGACAAATTTTTGTTATTAAAATTTATCCAACATTTAATTTTAAATATTTTTTAATTTTTTGCACCATTGGCAATGCACTAAAAAACGAATATCTAGCATATTGAATATTTAATTAAGCCCATTGAGGTATTTTATAATAAATTATTTGTCATTATTTTCATACAAAATTATATTATATTTATACTAAGATGACCATATTTTTTTAAGTCAAATCCGGGACGGCAATTTTCAGTTATGCTAATCCGGGATGTCGGGAGGGGGGAGGGGGTGTGTGTTAATCATTTATATAACAATATTATTCAAGGATACAATAAAAAAAAACAATTTTTTTAAATGACTTTTTTTATCATAATTGCGGACTTTTAGTAAGAGCTTTATACTTCGACTATTATATGCAATACTTCTTTATCTATGATATTATATCTTATATTTTTCGATCCATATGTTCTATTCAATTTTTTTTATAATTAATTTGAAAAAAAAATAGCATCTGTTAGTTTGTTTTATTAATTTTCGAAAAACCGGGACATCCGGTACCAAAAATCAAAATCCGGGACAAATATTGCTAAGAAAAATCCGAGACACAAAGTGGAAATCCGGGACTGTCCCGGCCAATCCGGGACGTATGGTCACCTTATTTATTCATTCATTATATGGCTGACATTTTGTTTCATAATTAATTTTAGTATGTTTAAAATAAATATTAAAAATAAAAACTTTGGTACAAATAGAATTCTGATCTATCCTTATTAATTCGGGTTGATCGCCTTAATTTTTAATTATAAAAGGTTAATTTAAGTCAA